CTTCAAAAACGACCATAAAAGTGGCACACTAAACTCAAACAATACGCTTTTTTAAATAAAGTTTTAAAAATAACGTTTTTTTTAAAGCCATTCAGTAAAGGCGGGCGTACACAGTGTGATTCTGAAGGTCGGAACGTCGTGAGCTCTGGCACATGTCACGATTGAGTTTATCCGAAAATCGTACGGAGGCAGTCACACACGACACGAATTTACTACGATTTTACAAACTCTTACGTAAGCATTACGTTTCGCGCCATTCATAAAAATATGGATTCTGAGGACGAAATAGTTTTCTTTGTGGCAGGCTGCTTGTGACGTCCAAAAAAACAAAAAAAACGAAGACAAAGGACATGGCAAAGAGAATGGCTGAAAAGCAGAGAAAAGCATGGACTTTCTGTTCTTCATAAAGAACTCGAGGGAGTAAGTTAGGCCATTTCTGCTCATTTTGCCGGAAATACAACAGGCATATTCATTCATAAAGCTGAACGGCAAATTTGGCACATTCGGAATAACAAATAAAAAATAGAATTATATGGTTTTTGTCATCTTCTGATTGGTCAACTTCAGATGGATCGCCAAATCGTCTCGTTCAACCGCACAAACGCCACGAATTGAAACCGACAGCATCCAATTTTTTTTTACATATTTGAAAATTATAGGGAGGACGGGAGGTGCTCGTAACGTCTCGAATCGGCCCGTAATTCTTCTCACACGGTACGAGCCGCGACAATGCGAGCATCTGCGATTTTCTCCTGAGAGAAAAAAATCGCCTGCGAGCTCGTACGACAGCAAAAATCGCACCGTGTACGCCCACCTTAACTTTACTGGAAGTTATCACCAAAAATGTTGTTATTTCCAGAAAATCAAAAGTCACTGTCCTGTGAACGAACGTCATCATCTGAAATTACCGCATGGCTTCAGAAGACTTTGAATAAAGTGCACAAGTCATATGGATAATGTTGTGTTGCTTTTTTATGTCAGTTTCCAGTTTGACAGTATCCATCCCATTTCATTTTCATTATGACAAACATTTGCCAGGGCATTCTCAAATTTCATTCTTGTGCTCAACGGAATAAACAAAGTCGTACAGGTTTGGAACAACACAAGAGTGAGTACATGATGACAGAAGTTTCATTTTTGACTGAACTATTCCTTTAATCCACTAAATTGTGTGTGGGTAAAGATGAAAGGAAATGTATATGAAAATAGATGATGTGCCAGAGTTGGCATCTTTTTCGGTTGTTCTGTTTGGCTCATGAGACTCCAAATGCCACTCAAAGTCCGGCGTCGGTCCCACCAGAGACCGGGGCTCTATGTAGTCTGTCACAGTGCATTAGTGTCATTAGCGCTATAGGTTCTCATGTCACTGAGCTGAAGCCAGACAGTTATGTAAGATGATGTCCAGACCACCAGATGTGGATGACACCCTTGTGTTCTCTCTCGCTCACTCTTTTCTGTTCTCCTCCCTAATGTTTCCCTCAATACTCCGTGTACTTTTCTGACTCTTCTGGGGAAAGTTCCAGATTTTGTGAGATAGGAGCTCTGCATGATGTCATGCTTTATTTAGAGGCAGTTTGGATGCATGATGTGTATGCCGGCTCTCTTAGGGCCGTCTGAATGATGCGATCATGGGTAATGTGAGTGTTAAGGATGTGGCTTCTGATTAGAGAGCCATTCATCCAATCTCCTCCTTTCTCTTTTTTCCCCACCCGAGCTTGTTTTCTTCACTGCCTCTTGAGCCAGCTGTACCCTAAATGATTTTCTATGTCCATTATGACTGTTTCTTATCAGATTGTACAATATGACAGCAATGAGATCCTGTGTTAAGTTCATGACAGATTGCAGGATGTCAATGGTCATTCATGCTTGCTTTGATTTGATTTTTTTTAGTGTTTTTCGTGGCTAAGACTTACCTCTAAGATTGGGTGATTAAGTGTCTTAAAACACACACATACACACTCTACACTCAATTATTTTCTTTGTCCGCTAGCAATGGATGCACCATACTGGAGAATTGTAATTATTGCAATTTTTCTGAAAATCATGAAAAATCCCACCACAGTGTCATTTCTTTTTCTTTCTTTCTTTCTTTCTTTCTCTTTCTTTCTTTCTTTCTTTCATAATGGCTTTCAGAGATTGTATTAAAAAAATACACACACTTAAATTATTTATTTACTTTGTTGCATAAATTGACTAAATTAAAGCTTTCAACAAATAAAAAATAAAATAAAATAAAATAATGATAAAAAAAAAGTTATAATGGGCAAACTTGTATGGTGTTTTGGAAATAATGCCACAACTGTGGGGACAAGTGCAATATGTGAAAAAAATTAATAAACATTTTCACAAAGTAAAAACCCATGATTAAGTAATATAATGACGCACATTTCAGTTCAGGACTGAAAATCTAGAACAACAGTAAAGTAGTCAAATCTAAACAAATTGCATTTGAAAAAATAAACGATAGTAAAAAGTAAGTTTCAATGTGACCTTCATATAACAAAAAGGAATAGCTGAAATCTATTTCAGGTGAAGAAACACCTGATTACGTAATCAACTGCTGTGCTCCCATTGGCTCCTAGCTGCATCACATGGTCACACTGCAGGAATGTGGCCAAAACATTGCAGACACTCAAAACGACACGATTTATAATCGGCTGTCTGTGAGCATGCTAAAACGATCCAAGACTTTCAATTTTGCTTTTGAAAACAAATCTCAAATTGAGACTCAGATGGCAGAAATCACTGTAAAAGTCCAACATGTGTGCATTATGCTTTAGTCAGTCTGATCGTATTCATCACAAAAGGCTCAATTCTGGGATCTGAGAAAGGCTTTGCTTATTGTTTTGCATCACAAGCTGTAATATGGAAACGGTTAAATCAAGCTGGATCATTGGGCTCCTGGCCATGAAGCCATACATTCACAACTACCTCAGTCAGTGTGTGCATCATCTAACATATCCGCCATCCGCCTTTGAAATGCAAATCGAGTAGATGCACGGCAGCAGAGCTATTTTGTGGGGCGCTTGGATGATGCGCAGCAGGACGAATCAACTGACAGACGGCTCTGTGTTACAACTGGAAAGAAACGAAAATGCTAATAGAGGACAGGAGAGAGATAATGGGGGAAGCATAGAGTCAAAAAAGAAGGGAACAAGGTAATGATGATGTGTTTTCCAGGGAAAAGCTTAGTAATGGATCTGATGGAATGACTCTTTCCGGAGAGAACAAAGGGCGGTCTCCACAGTCCCATACTGATGAAGGTGACCCTATGACCAGCGACAGAATCAAGCCAAACAGACTTTCAACAAGCTATAAGCTGCAGGAATCTCATATCTTTGTATGTGTGTGTTTTGCAGCTGGGAAAGCTGTTGTTGTATGATGAAAATGTAATGATGTAAAGATCAGCGTTAGGGAGTAACTATAAGAACTTTTTTGGATATATGTGAGATGTCTTAGTTGCTTGTTAGTTGCTATTATGACTTGTTAGCTCCTGACAGATGACACTTGTCCTGTAGTTTGTCTTGAATTCTTATTCTTTTTCTATATCCTTAAATAAATCTTGGGTGG